CTTTCTTCTTGAAACATCTTGGACAGGTATTGGACTTTAAACAGTCTCTAGCGAATCGCGCGATCGTGGTCGTAAAGCTTGGAGCTTGCCTCAAAGGCACGCCCTAGGATTAAATTGGTGTGGTTCCTACACATCAAAATGAAAGCATTGGTGTGAAACGGCATTAAAGAAAAAGGAAAAGAAGTCCGCTGAACGAGCTTGCTCACTTTTATGCCAGGGATATGAAACCTAACTTGAGCGCAGAGGAGAGTGGATAAACGAGGGAGTGCAACGGATAAGAAATGGCTAGAGTTCACGTCGCTGCTGATAAGAACATATGGAAGCGCTCGAAGCGATCTTGGCAAGCCTCTAGCGTACTTGTTGCACGCTTTATAGCTGAGGAAAAGTTGGATTTGCGGCTCTCGAGGCGGGTTCTATCCTGCTCACCAAAATGATTCGTGTACCTTGTCTCCATCGATTGTCCTTGTAAGCTATTTCGGTACGGAAACCTTGTTAGGATCATTTAAGTATTGATCGCAGTGCACTCATTCGAATCAAATCAATGGTAGCTAAACACAGAGCACGTTCTCTGCTATTTGCTCATCTTCTATGAGGTATCAAACTAACGTTTTCTTCGAAGTGCTAACCATTCATGGCCATTCAACTTAATGCTATCAAACAATGAGGTGTCAGTTGAAACCAGCGCTCACGTCAGAGTGATGCTCGTTCTTTGTTCATGAGAGTGCAAAGGCGGAGTAGGTCGATGTGCCCTTTCATGACCAGATGTAATTGCTTACGTGTATCTGTGAGCGCTGATTTCTCTGCTTTCCAATCCGATCTGGTTTTTGATATAGTCTGTAAGTTCTCCGCATGACTTCTAGAATAATGACCAATTCACGGTTGATTGTGGTTGGGCACGTAAGTCTTGCAACTTGTCTTGTAATGCTCCACTAATCTTGCTCTCTCACTTGCAGTAGCATTTGACTGGAAGCCAGCAAGGATTAGTGCTCTGAAACTAAAATGGTTCATTTGCGCTAGGGCTGTATCCCTAGCCTGTGCTGAATTATGCGGAAGTTGTCAAAGTTGCAGTGAGCCATGCATTATGCATTTCCTAGTATTTCCATAGCAGTTCATTTGAAAACTGTCGGAATTGGCGAATGTTGGGCCGATGGGGGGGGGAGGGCGACGGACTTTTGGCTCGTCCGGGTTGGCACGCGGCAAATTGCGCGGCGAGCGGCGCGGCAGATCCGACGCATCGCGGGAATTCAACACGTCAACGTGTGAAGATTGCGGATAAAATCCACAAGGTTCTGCAATGCGAAATGCATCTGAACGGCCGAAATTTTGAAGACAGCGGTGGTTGTAGCAATAGGAAGAGATGAGAAGGAAGTAGCATAGTGCTGTTATGGCAATCAGGGCGGTCATGTTGTTGGGGGGGACGTTCCATTTGGGGGATGTGAGTGAGACAATTACTGTGTTTGGGACCGAGACTTAGGATGGAGAATTGATTCTGGGGATAGAGCTACCCTAGGACCGAACCCGGCAGAAGGGTTCCCTGGCGTTCTTCCCCTCTGCTGGGCTTAGTCCTAGTGTCACTATCATCAACCCTGTTTTGTTGTTGTTTTAATGTTTCTCCTCTGGACGTGAGCGCCTCGATCAGCAAAACATATATAGTTGACATTAAACCTCAACAAGAACTCCCAATTTTAGTGACTCTTATTTGCTTTGATGGTAGTAGTTACATTTACATGAGGGTCCTCACTCATCTCTTGCGCTGAAATCTCCTCACCGATACTGCTGCCTCCAATCCCCGTGAGCGGAAAGATTTTCAAACAGCAGAACATGCGATACGAGTTTATTCGCAATCTGCACACGCATTAACGTGTTGAATTCTACCCGAAGAACCCGCGAAGCCTTGTTCCGTCCAGATCGCCGCGCGTGCCGCCGCGCAACTCGCCGCGTGCCAGTCCGGACGAGCCAAAAGTCCGCACCCAGGAAAGGAGGTGGCAGTGTACTTGCAACAGACAGGGTCGCTCCTTCTGGTTTAGACTTTTCGGAAGTTGTTTACGACCCTTCTCCGTCAAAATTCTCACGAGCCCTTTCACCACGCTTGCCATTAATGCGTCGCTTGTTTTTTTCTATTAGTATTGTATTTCTTAGTTACTCGTCTATAGCGTAACTCCATCCCACTTTCCGCTCCAAAGAGCCATCGAGCGGGAGCGTAATACCACGAACCCGTAATTCCCAATATGTCCCTATCTTCCTCTATTTCTCCCTCATCTTCACTATATTTTACCTCTATTCCCACTGCAACACTTCTAGGAGGGTATATGCGCACATTGAAACCGCAATTTTTTCCCACGCGCTTCACGTAACACTCCAGTTTCACCCCAATTTCACATACTATTTCGCGCGACTGCAGCAAGTACGCCCCCTACAAACTCAACAAAATACGAGCACCCCCTCCGTTGGTCCTTGTCCAACGTAGGGTTGACCCTGCTTACAGGTTGTGTGTGCCTGGGGAGTCTATACAATCCAGCGAGCCTCAGTTTTTTTTAGCTTTTGGGATTGCAGAGTTATTGCTCTTCGGATAACTTGGTCATCCTAGCTTGTGTGGTTAGCTTTGAGTCAGCGCTTTCGACACTTCTGACCGGCTAGCCCCGAATTGTTCCCCGGAGACCATAGAAAAGAACAAGCCTGGAGACTCAAATTGTTTTCAGGCCATACTACAGAGTGGCGAGTGAGCTGTGGATAATACACTCGGCTTCATTCCTGTTTAGCTAGAATCTACTACTGATTTAAAAACATTTGCCGCATTTCTGGCTTTTTTGATGTTTTGTGTGGCTCTTTTGAAGTTTGTGTGAATGTAAATCAAAATTGATGACAAAAGATCCCCTTCGTAGTTCAATTTAGCAATCGCTAATGATGTTCTGCTAACGCTCTATGAGGACCGTGAAAATTGCCGTGAAAATTGGGCCTTTTGACTCACTCTCGATATTTCCCCAACGCCCTGTGGCGGCCAGTGTTCCAACAGTATTTTGATTTTACAGTCTTCGTAAAGTTTTCTACGCTCATCCCCAGCATTCGCACTTCATTAAGGAGGCGTAATTCTGACGCGAAATCGAAGAACTTTTCAATTGCGAGATGCTCATTGACTCTAGTGAAAATTTCATAGTAGTCAAACTCAAGGTACAGTGGTAGTATTGGTTTTTGCATGGAGAAACTAGTTAGTATTACTACCTTGAAAAATCTCATAATTTTCTTCACAGTATTGAGTGTTTAGACCTTCCACATTAACATACTAATTTTCGTTTCTTGATCACATTTGCTCTATTTTTTTGTAATTTTGTGTTGGTTACGAAAACTTCACACCTTTAGTGAGCGCTGTACTCTTATTGTCCGCTTCAAGCTATCTCAGCTCGCCCTGTCAGTCTCTTACCAAGTATTGCATTTTTGTAAATCCGGATAAACACAGATTCATGTTCTCCTTCGAATTCCACTTAGCCTAACTGTCTTCTGTTAGTTCTTGCTATTCGCTTGACGGTCCCGAGCTTAAAGTTTATGTGTTGTGTGGACAAGTAAAGCAGTTGGTTTGCAATTCATTAAAGGTGTGTTTTCTTCAGATATGGCTCTGGCGGGTCCCGCCTCCACGGAGGTTGGGAGATCACCGTCGAGCTCGTCCGCTAGCTCGATACCAATGGCTGAAGATAAGCTTAGACTGGTTAGTTTATGCTGTTTTCCGTTGCATTACCATTTATCGTAATGAGACTCGCTGAGTGATCTCGTTTATGCTCAACGCTTTGTTTTTCCTTCAGGTTAGCTTTATCGGTGGAGAAACAATAACTTTCGATTGGAAACCAGATGATCCTCAGAGGAATACTGAACTGGTTTCGATCTTATTTGAGGTGATCGGGTAGGTGGTTCGTTTACCTAAATAATGACTTAGTTCGATATTATTTATTGGTCTCCTTTATTGTGTCAAACTGCTCATTACTTACGCTCAATTCCACGCTCACTATTATGATAATTACCAATCAGTATTTTATTACGCTAATTTTGACTCAAAGTAGGTGGTGGACTGGAACAATGAAAAAAGCGAGTAATCAAGCGTAGGTATGGATAATTGTTAGTGTTCAGAATGTTCGTTCAAGGCGCGCAGCTTTTTCGAAAGTACTTTTTGCACATTGTAAAGCATGCTTCGAAACCGAAAGTAAATTTTTGCGCAGCTCTGAGACCACCAAAATTATTGTGGAAAATTCTTCCTGAGAGTTGCTTATGCTAAGAGCCTGATTCTGATTAGCGAGAATTGAGAACCGAATATGCCTTCACATCGGAACAATTGATAGTTGTGGTTTTACTTCAGCCCTATCAAGCGCTTCCTTTCACTTCCATTTACATCATTTGGATAGTGGATCTGCAACTTTCAATAACGTTGATAAAACCAACCTAGAAGAAGTTCGAGCAGTGGTAGAAGATTTTAACAAAGTGGCTGCCCCCTTTGCTAAATTGGTTGGTTTTCATTTTGTTTTCGTATATACATAACTCATTATTGCTTCCCTACCAGCGTTTTGCCCTTTTGCAGTGGCCAAGGGACATCTAACGAATCCAAGCTTTTGAATCGGGGTGAGTCAAGACAGAGCTATAAACTACTATACTATTATTGCACTCTTTCTTAAGCAGGTAGCAAACCACTATTTTGATAATTTATAATTCTGCTAGCATTCAATTTACCTAGAACATAAGGTCTATCTCTTTCTTGTGGTCGCTTGTTAGCCGGAACTGGGTAATAAACTAGCGTTTTTTTTTTCCTCAACATCGACTCTAACGATTACATTGTTGGGACGTCAAATTGCCTCCATGTCAATCCTTTGTTTGAAACTCGGGCACTTGCTATCGAACTTGTTCAGTCTTCTGTGCCATGCGAGGTTTAGCGCTACTGGTACTGTAAGACTTTACCCTTGTTCCTTGGACTAATGTCCTATCAACGAAATGCCTACATAATCTGACATCCCTGTATTCCTGCGTATAGTAAAGGATTGGTCGAAACCTTCGATAATTGCTTTTTAATAATCACTGATTGTAAATGTACTTCACCTTCGCGCCCTCTTGGAATGACTTTGGAGATTATCCTTTGATGATTACTTTCATTGAATCAATCTCTTCTGACATTTCATAACAATACGTCCTGATACAAAAGGGAATGTTTTTTGTTAATGGGTCGTGTGTATGAAGTTTTCAAGGAGTTTTGCCTAAACCTAGCATTATGCGAGATTGTGAGATAAGTTCATTCGCCTTTTCATTCTCTTCTTTTTTAGCTTTCTAATCGCACAAAGCAGAAAGGTTAATGATATTTTAAAGTTACAAAAAAATTACGTAATAGCGGCGCTTCCTTCGATTCATCTCCAATCTTCCAACAATCATAAATACGTCCGCTGGCTAAAAGAGGCCGTCGAGAGAAACCCGTGTTTCCGAAAGCATAGACTAGCGCTAACACGACATTGAAGCGAAAAAAGACGATGTAATCTTGGGCAGCAGACCCTCCGCACCATGAATAATCGATTAGCAACCCCCCCCGCATTAGAACCCAATTGTTCTTTGGGAAATTTGTTGTCAAAGATGACCAGCTACGAACATCATTGAGCATCGTTGACTTGTGTGCATCGAGCTCGACGCCATTAATCCACAGAATACGCATAATGCCTTGCTGGGGTGAATTCGCTTATATGTCGCGCCCCAATATAGAATGATGTACCTCCTTGATAACTTCTCATAAATTCATGGACATGGACGTGTAGAAACAACATGTTCACATGGTGTTTGAAGATGCCCATTTATTAAATAATAAATATAAATCTAGTTAGATGATTGATGTCCACCTGTGTCTTCCTAGCCGCTTATTCAGTAAAAACACCGCCGGATACGGAAAAGCTGTACTGCTCGAAGGATAGTTCAGAAAGGGTTTTTATTCCGCTTCAAAAACGAGAATGTAGATCTCATCGATATTAGTTCTGCACACCCAGTAGAATTTGGAGAGGATAGCTTAGCTGCCTCTACCTCAACATTATCGCACTGTAACTCATGATTTGGCTCAAGGCTTGCGAGCCACAGCCACTAAACAGTGGCTCAATACATGGAATCAGAAGTGTGTCCAAATACGGTGCGTGGCGTCCCTAAGCATGACATTCCTATGGTGGAGCAACTTTAGATTACAATCCTTTTCTGTCATTATCCAACACGTTCAAGATGTTTCTTTCCGTAACGGCAGTATGTGCAAATGGCTTAATTCGTGGTGCGCTCTCAGAGATTTGAGTTGCTCCGGTGGAGGAATAGCTAAAGTGCCGCTCTTTGAACAGAAATGATCAGAAGCGACAATTCCACACTATAGGGTTTTAGTACCCTTCTTGTTTTTATGCTCTAGAATGAACACAGAATTTCTATTTTAGAGCAGTTGCGGGGAAAATGAGTAGAAAATCGAAGCGCATGAATTTATTGGGCAGTGTAATGATTTGGCCCCAGCTTTTTTTGAAGTTCGGGAGTATATTGGTTCCATGTTCGAGACTAAACACTTCCTTTTTCAGGGCAGTCTCGAATCCTCAACTGTTGAACAATCATTATGCACCTTTTAGCAGTGGGGTAAGAATTCTTCAAAAGATTTGATGGCAAATCTAGCTCACTAACTTGATGTGGTTTCAGGTTTATGGAGAAACGTCTTATGAACAAATGCAAAT